TCTCTCTCTCTCTCTCTCTCTCTCTCTCTCTGTTATTTCTTGAAGAATAGTTAATTGGGATTGATTATAATGTAACACGTAATACATATTGTATAACACATTAATCCCAGTCCTGCTGCTCCAGACGTATCTAAAACTGCGGCATTTTGTGCGAGTCAATCAACACTGTGCACCTTTGGAATGTGACAGAGTTCTAGTAAATCCGCTTTTTTATGAGAACTGGGTTACACACTTCACTTTACTGACACAGATGGCCTAGTTACGTACTACACATTACTGACACAGGAGACCAGCACACTGAGTTAACAAAGACTAGAGACATTCTGCCCTGCATTTTTTTTTCAATGTGACGCATAACAAATAATACCCAGTGCCCATTAGGGAAATCGACAAACCGATCGCCCGATTTGCGGCCTGAAAACAAACGCATTTGTTTTTTAGCCTACGAGTTGCGAGAACGTTTTCTGCCATGATGGTCCTTCGCCCCATCAATCTGGATAGCCCCACCTGCCAAACTGAACCGAAGCGAACCGAACCGATCGTGCCAATGGGCACCCCTCATTTTCTCAAAACTTATAGAGTTAGACCCCTGTCATTCTAAAAGCGCGACTTATGGTTCTCGACCACAACAAAACACTCGGACCGGCCATACAGTGAATGAGCCAAGTCACGCCCCGTGCCGCTCACGCCTAGCAGGGCACAATAGCGCGCGTGCCTAGCAACCACCAGGGCCTCTAGACCTGCGTCATAGAGCACGTGCGCTGTCCTGGAACATCACTCATGGCAGACGCCAAATGGGCAGCTTAAGCCCTCGGTTCCTGCCGGCGCTTGTCAATGATGGGTCTGTGGGGCTCGGTGGGACGGGGTGATAACTCTGTCCCACAATGCCAGGCCACTCGTAAACTGGTCAAGGGGCTGACCGCGCCCTCCAGCCAATCAGCCCTTATCAAAGGCTATACGCTAAATCTGCATGACGCCCCCATCTCTGCTGTGATCGCTTCTTTGTGCCAGTGATTTAGATATCTTATTCATATCGTTGTTACACCCGGTTCAATATATCTTACCCCCTGCCCCCCCCCCATCCCCACCCCTAAATCCCAACCGGTCCTTCCCGAACCTGCCCTAAGTGCAGGGTTGGCTCTTTCCGTTAAATCGTAGTTGTAGCACAGTTCATGAGTGTGTTTGTTTCAGTCACTCCCACACTGCCCTACAAAACCAATCCATGGCCTCCCCAACCTGCTGAGAGCGAGGTCGCACCGCTCAACATGGAGCCAAGAGCAGCTCAACTCTGACAGGCACAGCGTTCACGGATCCTGTTGGCTGTGAATCATTACTAGTGGTTCTCCCGGGGAGCCGAGAATGTTCCCGAGTGTTCTAGGCTCTGTTGGGGCATTACGTATAAAAGTTGTAAAGTGCAGAGAGCATGGCGTAGAACGTGGATTTATGCGCTATATAGATGCACTTATCATTATTAGTTTTCTTAATAAATTATTTTTATTAGGTCTCTTTCATTATTGTTACAGAGGCTGTCGTTAAGGCAACGTTGATTACCAACTCTGGGAGTCCGCCACGCGTAAACCTGGCTACCAACCGTCCCATCAATAATTAATTGATGGGGTGACGTCATAGACCTGCCTCTGAGGCCATGTTTCGAGCCCCGATCAATCAGTCCAAGGATGAAAAAAGAGATGCTTCAGGGCACAGCAGCGGAATATAGACGGCCCTTTGGTTTGATTGATGGTACACGCGGAACTCCACAGTCAACACAAACCGAACTGGAACAATCTAGGAGGCCGGCTGCTTCCACTCAGAGAGTCAAGGCCGGGTCAGGGTGGGTGGGACGGAGACGGGCGCAGCACGAGTGTCTCGGTCTTTCTGCTTGGTCGTTGTACCCCCTACCCCCCCCTCTCTCACACACACACACACACACACACACACACACACACACACACACACAAACACACACACAAACACACACACACACACTCAGGTTGCCGTTGGTACTCAAGGTCGAGGTAGTCGTAAGTCGTGAGGTTTGTTTGTCGTAGTATGCATGTGAACATCGACACAATATGTAACGGTCAT